AAGTCGTGCAAACCCTAGCGAAAAAGCAACGGGTAGGCTTTATTCCCCATAGTGGGGTAAAGAATGATTTGATACCAGGTTAACAAAGTGAATCTCTTATCGGTGAGCAAGCATAGGTAGGACACGTCAAATGCAGTAGAACTTGCTCTTATATATTGTCTTAATTGTTTGCCACACAAAGGAAACAGACCACAGCAATTAATGATCGTCTGTTACTGGACAACAGTATTGCTCCGTGGGCAATGATGGCCAAGAAGGTGAAAGCGCACGAGTTCATCAGACCGGAGACAGTAATTAGTCAAAACCGTGGAAGAAAATGGGTTTCAAGGTAGTCATGCATACACAAACATCAAGACGAAGAGTTATCCAATTCTGTCATCTAGAGGTGATGATTTAAGAAATCAGCTCAAGCGTTTACAAAATGCGATCTAATTCCAGCAGCGACAGGCCCGTTACGTCTACACAACATCTACCAAGGCATTGAGACTACATCTGATGGAGTAGAAAGTCAGGACAGGAAGATGCATCGAAAAGGCACGAAATGCTCGCTGGATGTGTCATGTATTTTGCAAATGGTCTTCGTTGAATGTATCGTAAAGAGACTGCAGCCAAACGAGGTGCGGTGACATGCTTGTTTTCATGATGGGATGAAAAAGTTACTTGCTACTTTCCAAGTGTCACCGGAATTTGCAAAACCAGAAAACTCACAGGTTAGAGCCCAGACGAGTAATGCTCCATCATTCCCATACATGGTACTCCTTCGGGATGGCCACCTGCAGAGTGTTAACAAATCACAAAGCTCCGTCGTTATCTAGCAGGACACTATCCATGCTTTTGCAGTATGCGCTACTCGCACAAAGAAGCCGTTTAGGAGGCCAAGGAATTCCATGCATGAGGGTTTGATAATGTTCGCACTGCATATCCCGTCAGTCCAAAGGCAGCGCTAGGTTCACCTTATGCGCTCGCTTGAAATAGACGTGCGCTATGTTGGTAAAATAAGCAAATCTGAGTAGTGGGTCAGTTTAGTTATAAAACTACGGTTTGTGCTGTAGCAACAGTATTTTACATCACCTATCCTGATGGTTCCTTGGCTTTATCCTAAACAGGTCAAAGCGAGTGCATCGGATAGTTGTTTCGACTTTTAAGGTGGTCTCAGCTGTGCAGATTCCCTTTCGTCCTTTGGAAAATTAAATATGCGCCTTAGAATTTAAAGCCCTTGGATCGTACGGCTCCGTAGAGAACACAGAAGTGGCTGGAGTGCCTTGATCACCAGTTATCAGCTAACGCTGTTTACTGTGTTGCTGCATAGAGGACAGAATTGGCACACTGGGACACAGCTATCCGCACCAAAATCGCCAACTGACTAATGTCAACCACAGGCTGGGTTGCGCAACTAACGATCATTGGGACCAGTGTACCAGCCTCATACTCCGCAATGTACCGAAACTGACGCTCGAGCGCCGCAACTGTCCCTGGGGAGATGCAAACAGTCAGCAGCTGATAACAGAAGGGTTATGTGTTCGATTCCTCGTAGTGTCGAAGGGAGTGCAGATTACAAAGGCTCAAAGTGCTGTTGTAGAACTAATCGGTAGCATACTGACTCCAACAGATGAGCATTAGAGGACAGCCGATCAATTGAACTAACTCAATAGCTACATAAGGATCATGAACGCTAAAGTTAGCTCACCAGCTGCTGCCTAAGTGGATGTGCGATGTCTCTAGCAGCAGGAAGGGTATTCTTAAAGACCGTGTCAAGGGAGCATGGTGAAAGCCGCTACCTTTAGAGCACGGAGATTAGCCTTTTCAATATGAAGACTATACTAAAATTCGGGTCCTTTTCTATCCTTGATACAGAAATATACTTTAACAAAGGGCAAGTCCATAGGTAGACCATTGATCGGAAAGGCTTAGGCAGTTCTCATGACATGAATTAAGTAATCAAGTGATTGATAGCATGCGGTACTGCCAGGGGGATGCAATCCCTCTTGATTGACTAACTAATAATAATAATAATAATGTGACAGCTGTAAGCCGTAACGGCGCTTCGCTGCCGCGCGACCACCACCAGTTGCGCGCGGGCTGAGTATGCCGCGAGGACGCCCACCCCTACGCGGATTCGAACCGGTGACCTTATGGTTGCAAAGCAAACGTGCAGACCACTCGGCCATCGGCCGACTGCTGACAACGGAAGTTACATAGCTTGGTCGAGTTTCTTCTGGACGCAGGGCTCCGGGTCTGCTTCGCCGGTAACAAGCAGCCGTACTCCCAATTGACGTTTAATTGTGAAATATTCTACACGGGATTTCAGACGCTTTACGTCTGTTAACCCGATGCGCAATTAAATTACTACTACCTCGCGGGTTGATGACCGAATTTGAACGAAAATCCTTGGTTCGCTTTTCTAACGGATTTAGGTGAACCAATCGAACAATGACACCCGAAACTGAAGTAGATCAATAGTTACTTGGAGCTAGCAGTGGATTTCAAAACTCTGTCAATCAGACCCTGATAGCCGCACTGAGGATGTTGACCGGCTTGGCAACGAAACAAGTACAACAAAAATGCCAATGTCGGAGAACCGAATAACTCGTAAAGTCAAACGTGTTCATAAGTTGATGTGGAATTATCATTCTCCTAATAGGATCCAAAATAGGTGGCAATCATCTCGCGATGTCGTGATGCGGCGAGATTCTTATATCAAGTACTGACCTTAAACGTGTGCCCGGTTTGCGTATCTTCGAGGAGCTGTAAAGTATAGGAATGATAAAGTCGGTGGAACTAAGCTCTTCAAAGCTTTTTTCTGTCATATACCTACCAAATCACTAGCAATTTCAGATCCTTGGTTACTTGTGTTCCTATGTATCTCGTTTTGTCCTTCTCTTTAGCACATTTTATAAAACCTAGAGTCAAAAAAACATGTTTATTTTTCCATCATATTCTGTGTGATCAACGGTCAGAACTTCTGACCCTTTGTCTAGTTTGTCGATGATAATATCTTCTTTTCGCTAAAGTTCTCTTAAGGCTTTAATGTGAGCCTTTAGTATTAATTGGTAGGGTGTCAAGAGAAATCTCTGTTCGAGATCACTACTATGAGTAGTCACCAAGTCGATGGTCTGGTTGTTGAGATGCGCAAGGAAAGTGTTTTCCGTACTTGACCGAGCTTAAGACCCAACGAAAGTGCCTGCATTTGTAATGTGGCTAGCTGCACGGTTGACAGATTTTGCAAATATTAGGATTTGATGATAATTCAGCCGAGTATTTCATCTTGCACATGTTTTATGCAGAAAGTACGGTTTCTTGTCGATTCGTTTGTGCGGCACGTTCCAACCATACTCATGAAAATTGACCCGTTCCCTAACGCGTAGGGTGTCCAGTGCGTATTGTCTTTGTGCTTATGCAAGCGCTACGTGTGCACGTCAAACGCTAATTGAAGAGTACGTCGTCCGCATTGCAGAATCGAAGACACCGTCAAACTCGAGTGTGAGCTGGAAGCAGGAAATACAGTGTAAGGCGGACGAATCGGGTGCTGTTGTTCCATTTCATCTTCCAGGAGTGAGCCTACACGACTCACTCTGTGATTGGCTCGAGATTTTACACCCCCAGTGGCGTGTTTGCTGTCACCCGCTGGTTTGATCACCTATATGAAGCAATAAATTTGTTTTCTAAGACTTAAGCAACGCGCTCTCGGTATGAAATTCAGCAACAAAACAAGCAACGGGAAACTGTATCGTTGAAATTTGTTATAAAACGTTTGAAGAAGACGCACCACAGGCACACTCAGACATAACCACTGCACTGGATGGCCAGTTTATTTTTTTAGGAAGCGTCGGCAAAGCGACTCTATCTGTGGGAGAGCGGTCCTACTCGTAAGAGAAAGTATTCGAGACCACTAGGCCATGGGGGATGGCAACGACAGATGTGACTGTCACCACATCACTTTGCTGAATGTACGAGTCCGGAGATGATGTCCGCGTAGAACTAGCAAAAGCGACCGATTTCGTCAATTGTGTGCTGGCTATCGCCAATCTATCGACATAACATCCATCATGCACGAGTAGTTGCATCGTATATCCTGACACACACACGATGAAACACGGCGCTGATCCAAAATTGATCAGTAGTTCATCGATCTCGAGTGGTGTAAACGACACGAAAAGTGACGATCGGGGCTACCTACTCGTTCGTTTCTGTAGGTCACAATATGCGAAGCACAATCAAATACGCTGATGATTGATCAAAGGAATGACCCCAATGTCCTTTGAGATAGCCTAAGAGGACCGCTGTAAACCACCACAGATGCGGATGCACACCGTCAAGTTGGTCATTAGAATGCATTGGAGTCTAATTCAATGCATATTCCTAGCTTATCCTACAACCAAACACAGCTCGTAAAGAAAACCCTTTACATGGCGAGGCAGGGCCGTATTCCCCAAGTAAACTGCGTTCGTTTGATGCCCATGGACAAAATCACCTTGGTGTCTAGTGGGCCAGGAAACAGCATCATTGTGTGATATTCAGAACGGTTAAGGAGTGTAATTCTAAACAAGTATGAAGAAACAGCATAAAAAGTAGGGTCGCGTTGTTACGTGTGTCAATCTGATGGACTAAGGCCGGAAAATCGACCGCATAAATGTAGCCTGATGCGCACAGGGGAATCGACATCCGGCTCTGCAGATTCAACTGTTAGTCCAGTAAGAGGATGCCACTGATAATCTTCAACCGATTTTTCTGCTTGGTTCTGTTAACCAAGTTTGCTCCAATAAATTAGAGCACTGATATAAAGGTACCAACAAATTGTGATGTTTCGGTACTTGGGCGGACTACAATAAACGCGTCCTTCGGATGTTGTAAGGAGAGACAGAACAGTAGAATTATGGACAGAGGGTGAAGAACAGAGTTGCACATAAAATAAAATTAATAACTGAAGGCACCATGGGAACTGTCATAGGTAAACTGCGATTTGAGCTTTGGCAAACACAAATGAAAAAGGGGACAGTTACCTCTAGGGGATAAATGCAGTTGCGTATGCCGCAGTAGGTTGCCAGCTCTAGCACGTTGAGTGAGTTGGACCGCTTTCTGTGAAGACCAAACACTAGGTGGCGAAAGAGGCGGCAAGCAGAGTAGTATGCTGCGGTGGAAATGAGCTCACCAAGGAGTCTGGGAAATAGACCCTGCGAAAGATGCATACAGCGAACATAATGGAATTGCAGCTTAGTTGAGCGGCAATGATGAAAAATCCCAGTAAAAATAAACAGAAAAGACTTCAACTGATAAATAAGAAAATAGTGGTAGCTAAAGTTGTTCAGTTGGTGATCTGAGTGTTCGCTGAGCCCTGCAGTTTGGCTGCAAACGTTTTGTCACCACAAATGACATCGTCAGTGGGCATGTATGCAGCGGAGCGGCGCGTTACGAAGCGGCAGTGAATGTGAGTGATCGATCTCCTAGATGGAAGAGCCGTCAGTCTGAGTTCGGATCGTTAGACGGGCACATGACCTTCGAAATTGATCTCTGATTCGTGCCTCACAGCGTTAGCATGTTTGTCCCTGCGGTTGACATCGGACAAAGTGGAAGGAAACTTTCAACACGGACCAACGAATACAAAATGGCTATATGGAGATACGACCCACATTCGCTGGTTTCTTTGTATAAATACCAATGAGGCCACCACCTCGACCTAGAGAACGTGGAAATTCGGGACAAGCTAGAGAGTACTTGGAAGCATGGTACCCTACAAACAATTCAATTAGCCGACGCGTTGAACTATACCATTCCTCAACTGATTGCACCCTTAAGGAAAAGGCTTTCATCCGTAGTGCAACAGGTTACATCCTTAGCGTAAAAACTATAAGCCGATAGTCATGAAAATTGCATCCACGACGTCCTAAGTAAGCCAGTTGTCAGCTCGCCTCAAACGGACATCTTGTTTGTTCACTCAAGCCATCCCCTCGTCTAGGTGCGCACCAGCATCGGATAATAAGGAGGTAAAAGCAGGGGCTCACTCAAGAACTGGCTCCAAATTCCAAAGCCTGGGATGTGAAGGTTAGGCGAAGTCAGCACAGTCCCGGACGAACGCAGACATAGTAGTGAGCATATCCGGAACACTGGATCACGCCCCTAGCTTGATCGAGCGCGTTGTGATGGAGTCAAAACAGTTTCACAAAAAAGAATGAGTGAACAAACGAGATGTCCGTTTGAGGCAAGCGGACAGCTGATCCACTGAGATCGTCGTGGATGCAATTTTCGTGACTATCGGGTTGTAGTTTTTGCGCTAAAGATGCAAGTTGCTGCACTACCGATGAATACCATTGCGTTAAGGAAGTAATCAATTGAGAAATGGTATGGATGCTATATATGCAGCACTACGGATGAAGGATCACCGACTTAGCCAACTAAGTATAATGGAACAGAACGCCGGACAAATGCATCAAAGGACGACGTCAATCGTAGAGACAAGCAACCTTACGCAGCGAGGCACGAATAAGAGATCGATTTCGATGGTCACGTGCCCGTCGAACGAGCAAAACTCAAACTGACGGCTGGTGCGCCTAGGAGATTGATCACTCACACTTACTGACGCTTCGCAACGCGCCGCTCCGCGACCTACACGCGCACTGACGATGTGACGAAGCGTTTGCAGTCAAACTGCCGAGCTCAGCGAAGACTCAGATCTCCAGACTTCAAATGAATTTCGGAATGAGTGAGACGCTAACTGAGTCGTTTTTCCGGTTCCCTGATCCAAGTACAGAAGTGTGATCCAAATACCTTCAAATCACCGAAATGGATAAACAAGGTTAATGGATAGAAGTATAGGGATGATATTGGTCTGAACTGCAAAGAATATCAACCACAGCGGTGTACGTGCATAATTCGAGTAGAATGAGAGTTTATGCCAAACTTTCACCGCCCTTCAATATATCCGGTGGTGTAAGATTAGGTTGCCTGCTGTCAGCTATTCTCTTTAGTTTTGCCATTGACGAAGTCATGAAAACAGTGTTCGCTAAACACGACCTACAAGGTGTGGATGTGCTTTCCGGTGAGCGACCTGCGGTATGCTGAGGACATTGCCCTAATCTGTGGCAGCGCCCAAACGTGAAAGCAGTACTGGATAGATTAGCGCTGGGTTGTCAATCGTTTTGAGGTATGGTTTGCTCCCTCGAAATGCAAAGTTCTCCAAGATTGGCAGAGACCTACCCCTTCGCTGACTCTTGGTGGTGATCAAATAGACATTGTTCAGGAATACAAGCACCTAGGCAGCTATATTAGCGTTCGTGGGATCGAAGATGAGGTTATGAACCGTACAGCGAAAGATCGAGGTACTTCTGTGAATATCCGCCACCTGTGGCTCTGACGCCACATCACTCTCGCTTTGAAGGGCATTTACAATGCAGACTTGCGTTCAAATCTCCTGTACGGTTGTGAAACCTGGCCTATCAGGTCGACCGACACAAAGAGGTTAGCTACGTTCGAACATCGTTGCCTTCGCATCATATCTCATGTCTGGTTGCAACACCGAGTGAACAATGAACGTGTTCGGCGTCGTATATTTGGTGCAGGAAGAGCGAGGGAACCGTTCAGCACCAATGTATCACGCACTAGGCTCCTATGGCTGCACCACCAGTTGCGCATGCCAGCCCACAGACTCCCGTATAATGTGTTGTTTGTGTGCCCGGCATCTGGACAGAAGAGGATGAGGGACGAGCAAGCGATGACTTGGTCAAGAGGAATGAAAACTCCCACTTCGAAGTTGGAGTCGATTGGCACATCCCGACTGTCTGGCTGGGGTTGGAAGGACGATGAACACGTTTGGTTGGACATCTTGTTTATATGACAAAAGAGCCGGCCTCAATGGGGTTTGTGTTGGGAATTGCATGGCCCATTTCCCTCTATTTTAGATTCTCTCTCCAATTAGGAGCTGAAAGTAAATGCATATGACATTTAACACTATATTATTGCTTTATGGATAGTTTGTGCGGTGTAATTTTTTGTATCTTATCTCTTCTGCATTGTGACACATTGGCTGAGGTGTGCTTCTCATCATCGGTTAACGTGTATTGATGATGACAGCCAATATGTATGCGGAAAAGCTCTAGACGGCGGTTTCGTTCTACCGGATAGATGGAATATGCAATGCCAGAATGGCTGCCTGACCGAGTGTACCTGTGATGAGTCTAGTAAGAAAAATAATCTCAGCGATAACCATGGAAATGCAAGAAGCATGTGGACAAAAAGGTTAAATTATCAGCTGAGATAATAAAATATCAAAAAAGGGAATGAACGACGAAGTAGCCTCGACTTCGAGACTGCGCTATATCCCAAAAGATATCTAACTGCTGAAGTGGCCGAGGCCAAGACACCCCATGCAAGAGGACAACAAGCACTGAGTCAAATTGGCCTTGGGATGATCTGATCCTCGAGGTTTAGCCCCAAAAAGCGTAGTTTTGGTTAGCAACACGCAGATGTAGGGTCCAAAAAGCAAATGGAGGTGGGATGATCAGCGTAGACACGCAAATTCAAAAGCCGCGACTGATTTCGTGCAGGGATACCAACTGTTGAATCAACATACACCACTTGCCTGGTGGTCCCACCAGAGATGGGACATCTTTGGCGCATGCCCCTGTCGTGGTGGACTAAAGAATTTCCCGTATTATCTGAACACGGCCATGTGGTATGAGGATTTCAGAACAACCAGAAGGTTGCATCTGGCACGCTTTTCAAAGACAGACGGCGTCACAAGCAGGAAGGCAACCACGATAGGCAGGTGTGCATGTGAGCGCACCGTCTGCCAGAATAGAGTCCGAACTGGATCACATCGATTCCACTATTTATACAGGCAGTGAGTTGGTAAAAAATGGTGGTGTGGTCGTAATAACGCTGGCGCTATTGCGGTTCGCAACGAACACCTGGTTCGTTTAACAGATCACGACGGCGATCAATAAGCTCCAGTCTGAATATACCTCCTCAGGACACTGGACGATATCATATAGAAAGGCTAGCAAAACAACGAGTCAGTCGTAACAACCTTTCGGAAAAGATACAGGGAAGTCCCTGCATAAGGAATGCAGTATTTAATGACAGTACCCACTCATAGCGAATGTTTTCGAAGGCAAAAAGTAAACCGTCAACATTCAAGAGAGGTGCAGATAATTCAGGAAAAGATATGATAGAACTATAAGACGTACATAAAGACTCCTGATTCCCCCACGAGACGTGAGATTCGTCAGTATTTCCCCTTTAATATTGTGACCGAATTCATCATAAATGATTCTGTCCTCTCAGCCTCTTCCGGAATGTAAATTCTGCTAAGTGACCGACTGACTAACCTCGAGTATGCAGACGAGAGCTTTCTTTGCTAGATCTGATCAACGCATAGCACTGCACGCTTCTGTATGAGTTTTGCACCTTCAAAGTGAAAAGTCTTGTTGCAGGGGTGGACCAACAAATCACCGGTTCCAGCTATTGCCAAACCGCCAGTGGAAGTAGTTGATCGGTTTACTTACCTTAGTGCTTGCGTTACTTCTGGTGGTCACATCACGGAGAAGGTTGCTTCCATCCCGTTCAGTTGATCAACTATGATCCGAGCACCAAAATGCGGTGGATCCAGTTGCCACAATTCACACCGCAAGAATAACAATAAATAACACCAACAGGACGGTGGGGTTGGGTGCAAAAAGAGTGTAGAGGACAGAATTACGAACTATGTTAGAAGAATAGGAAGGGAATGAAAATGAACAACCAGATGAAAGAAGCCGAATGCCAGTGACTGCGTGGCTGCGTCATCTGTGACAGGGTTTCCAACCATTGGTGTGGACCGTCCCGACGCCCCAACCAGGAAGACGGTAAGCATCAGCCTGACCGAATCTCTCAGAAAATTTTTCCAAGATCCTATGCCATGTCAAGGACTGGCCAACTCGAGATTTCGCCCAACTTCGCGCAACCAAGTGTATAATGCACGTCGAGGAAGCCGATCAACGGGCATACGGAAAACATGGCCTAGGGTTTATCAACCATTCGAGAGAGGCATCAGAAGGCTTGTTGCCGAAAATCAACTGGTGGACCTCAGCATGGCGTACCCGGTGTTCCCACCACACGTGAGCAATACTTCGCAAGCACCGGTGGTCAAACATGGCCAAGCATTTAACGTCTTCACTGCGAAATGGCGGTCCCCGATCCATACAGTAACACTGACCTTATCGCAGCGTTATACACCCTACTACTCACTGACAAGCTGATATCCCGTCGTCTCTAAAGATGGTTGAGCCTCTAGAGAGTCACACTGGCCTTGCTGATACGCAAAGTAATCCTCAGTGATGAGAGCACCAGCTACCAAGGTAAGTGGACCGATCCACCAAATCCAGTGGCTATTCCGAAATAGCTAAAACCGGAAGTGTATCGGCCCGGTACTGCAACATCACCTTTCCCTTCGAAGGTGCAAAGTACATGCCGAAGAGTGCAGCGCTACGCAAAAGTCGATGCAATAGTGTTTGCATAGTCATTGCACCAGACCCAAGGAGAACTATGTCATCCGCAGGCTCCAGGTTTGTCAGTCGGTCGATTGGCAGGACATCCACTCCAGAATAGTCTGAAAGAACTGAGTCATTCATGATCCTTTCAATCACAAAGTTGTAGAGGAAAGGAGATATAGGACAAGCATGGCGAACCGCAATTGTCGTGGGGAACTCAGGGGAGAGTTTCCCGCAAACCCTTACACGGCCTCGGGAATCACGGTAGAAGGACTTCAGAATGGAAAGGAGTTTAGCTGGTAGGCCCTACATGGATAGGCAGTGCCACAAGTTGGCGTGGTCAACAGAGTCGAAGGCGGCTTTCAAGTCAAGGAAAACCAACATAGTAGGTCGTCTGTATGTGTGTCTCTGTCCTAAAACTTGGCGAGGAGTAAATATGTGATCGATGCAACCATGACCAGATCGGAAGCCAGCCTTGCTTTTAGTGATTCGGTCCTAACGGGGACCAGTAAGTCGTCGAAGAACGATACCCGTGAAAAGTTTGGAGGCAATGGAAATAAGGCTAATGCCTCGATGATTTTTGCATAAAGTACGCTGACCCCTCTTGAAGATGGGCAGAATAGTTGATAGTCGCCAGTCTGAAGGAACTTGTTCAGTGTCCCAAATCGTGTTAAAACGAGAAGTAGGTCCAGTCAACAAAGTCACCGCCATCTTTCAGCAAAGATGGGGGAAGGTCGTCGGGTCCCAGAGCTCTGTTTCGTTTTAACACCGAAACCTCAAGTCGAATCTCTTCAAATATGGGAGGTGTAACTTATACTTCCCACGTCGGCTCAGGCGATTCGGCAGTGTCGCAGCAGGCCTGCTGAACTGCCCCTCAAAATGTTCCGCCCAACGAGCTAGTCGACGACGTTGAGAATGGATTAACAGTCCATTTTTCTTGCTTTATGGACCAGCAAGGCGCGAATGGCTTTCCAGAGACTCAGCTATCTATGGAGAAGACGATACATCAGCCTGTTAGTGAAGGGTAGGGTTTATAACGCTGCGATAAGGCTATGTTACTGTATGGATCAAAGACCGATCCAGTTCTCCCTGAAGACGTTAAAATATCGGCCGATTTTGATCAATGATGTCTGCGGAGCACTGCTCACATCTGGTGGGAACAGTGGGTGAGCAATGCTGTAGTGCGCCAGTTGGTTAGCAGCAAGAAGCCCTCTGGTGCCTCACAGGAGTATTCGTTGATGATTAAATGGGGCCAGTCATGAAAATAGTATCCAAATCGCATCGACAAATGCTTCCTAATCAGAGTACAGTTCACAGCATACCGAGACGTATGCCATTGAACAGTTTGGCCGGGTTTGTCATTCTGATCACGCCGTCTTGTCGTGGACCGAAATTGCATGTATGCGAAGAGGAATTGAACCTATTTTCTTCCGCTGAGTGCTCTTAATGCTATCTATGCAAGAGTTCCTGAATATGCGGAAACATCTTCCGGAAATCGAATAAGACTATGTGGTAGCACCCTAAGCATGATGCACACGGCGAGGGTTGATCCAACAATCGTCCAGCCTGTTAGTGAGAAAAAACGGAGGAGGCCGAGGTAATAAACGATCGCAAAAAACAGAGCGGATGGAAACATTTGGAGGTGCTTAATTTGTGATGAATGAAGTTAGCAGCCTCACGTATGCCGGCTTGATGGGCTAAAGTATTTTGGGACGACCGCCAAAAAGCTAACGCGATTCAATAAGAGCAACACATCACAAGGGCGTTTGGACGCCAGTGTACGCTAAAGAACGGAATTTTGCAAGTCAATTAAGCGTCACCACTCTACCGACGAGACGATTGCTCCAATCGACCTCAGTAACCATACCATGAGAAGATACAAGCTAAACTGATGTGGAGGACATAGTTTGAAAACATGGCGACACCAGTGGGAAAACGGCTACTATCACACTAAATATAGGGTTTCCAATTAGGACTGAAGAACGGTAGTCAAATGGACACTCCTATCATTCGCAAACAGGGGTATTTTAAAAAAAGAGACGTATTGCAAATAAGTGAAGTTTGGGGAAGACAGAGGAAGACCAGAGCAATAGCCGGAGGGTGTTGATAACGAGAGGTGAAACATGGTGGGAGGTTGGAGACGTAAGTATGAAGCTATGAAGATAAGGCATAAGGAAGTGTTCTGTGTTACGGGGACGTTGATAAGAGACTGCGCAAAATGCAAAATGAAGACAGAGAAGCAGAAACCGTGGTCTGATGGCCAAATAAGTATAAAGTCATTTGAATATGTCCTGAAGAAACTAATGCAAATGAACGGGAGAAAAACAGAAAAGGACTCCATTACTTTTGATTTTAAAAACAAATCAGTCGGACTTACTAAGAAGAAGCCACTAAAACCACTCTCCCGGAAAACGGACCGAACAGCAATTGGAAACCAGGTGTACTGAGTCTCTCCCCCGGCAAGTGCGGCCACTTGTCTGACCATGACAACTGAAAACAAGAAACAGAACAAAGGACGGAGGCACTCTACGTATCGGGAAATCTGCGCGGACGCGTGCACATATGAGTCATAACAGTGAAAATCAATGCATTAAAAACCAAAGTACATGAGTATTAATAAAAAGATAATGTTTGCGATAGAACTTGTGAGACGCAGATGCATTGGTATGACCAGAAAGTACAAACATTTTGTTGCACAAATCGCATGTCAAAAAAGACACTATGCCAGAAAGTTCAGCCAAGGCTGCATACAGCACACAATTAGTGAACATTTGAAGGCAGGAGACGAGTGATGTAACAAGTTGGAGATTACGTGGTTGCCATAAAAACTATTGAACTACGTGCATTCAGTCTGGTTCAGTTTATGAACTTTGATCTCCGCCAAGAGATGTGGTGGACACATTTATCTAGACACACTGCCAAAAGAACTATAATGGATTTTTTCAGCAGTTTACGGATAGACAGTGAGCCATCAAAAACTATAGAAACCAAGGGAAGGGACAAGAAACGTAAAAGGAAAACCGAACACAACAAAGAAATCCATGGTTTTGTTAGAGGGAGTGATACTACACAGTAGCCCAAGCAGAAACAGGGAGTCCTAAAAAGATAAAGTTAAATTAAATCGCCAGCTGTAAGCCGTAACGGCGCTTCGCTGCCACGCGACCACTCCCAGTCGCGCGTGGGATGAATACATAGCTAGGACGCCCGCTCATAAGCGGATTCGAACCGGTGACCTTTTGACTACAAGTCAGGCGTGTGGACCACTCGCCCACCGGCCGACTTTGCGGACACCATCCTGAGCCTGTAGCTGAACAGCATACTCGCATAGCAGCGGAATGAAGTCAGGGATTCGATGACGGATTTTTCAGTTCATTTGCATCCGCGTCCATACTCTGGACTGTAATGTTTCACCGAAGTGAAGCAAGTAACAGTGGCGTTAGTTGGAGGCGAGTCACATCCACAACGTCACATCTAAATGAACATGTAGCACTTGATAAAGATAACGTCTGCAATGTGAAAACCCATAACGCTCTAAAACACAGCTGCTGAACCATTTTCTGGAACAGAATAAACCCAGGCGATTCAGCAAGTAGCAGGAGAACAAAAACCTATATAGTCCGATGGAATCTTTAAGAATCAGAGGAAATGGAACCAATTTAAGTGTGTACTCGAAGCAAGTTGGGTCGACAGATGTGGTGATTTGCATGCCAAGCTGGGTAATTCGGATGAGGATGTTACTTCACCAATGGAGGGAACATTTTCAGTACGTAACAATATGCCTTAAAGATATCCCCAAGAAAAAGATTCAGTGACGAACATTCCCCAGGTGGTGATTCGCTCACGAATTGGCAAGGCAGAGAAAAATGTTGGCAAGATGACCGCCCATGACACAGGTGGAATGTGTGACACATGATAGGATGGCGAAAAGACAAGTCGGGAGCCTTCCTTGAAAGACATTAGGCAGCGTGTGGTTGAGAGCAAACTGGATGAAGGATACAAGACAGTAACCTGCCGGACGAAGGCTAACAGACAGGACAAGAAGCAAGTAGAAGCCGGTGTAAGAGGCGAACATCACATTTCAATGACATATAAGCAGTTCATGGATGACTGTTTAGCTGAATCATGAGGGATAGTAATCTAAAGCAATCCAAAAATTCCCACTTGATGGAATGAATAAAAACGAGGCAGATTCGGAATGAAGTATTCTTCACACAGAATCTGCCTCGTTTCGATTCATTGTATCAGATGCCTGCTTAGGTAGATTTTAGCAGAAATCCACCATATGTACGGAAAGCACTGGACGCATTCTATCTAACTGCTGTGTGGCGAGAATAAGCAACCTAGTCTAACGCAACTGGGCTACGGAGGATGGCAATGACCGATAAAGCCGGTCTGTGGCGTTGAGGACCACAAGTTTGCCTTGTAATCCTAAAGTCGCGGGTTCGAGCATGCGAATGGTACACGGCGACCCTCGCGCACGCATACCCTACATGGTACGAAACCCTTCTCCTCGTCCTCCTGGGTTTAAGGAACATACCGATTGTAGCAATTTGATACCTTCATTTTCTAGTTACTCAAGCTATCCTTTCATATTTTAACTATTTAATTGTGCTATGTATGGCCTGACGATGAATTCTGAAAGTCAGCTTGTTTGCTAGACCATCTCTTCAAGACTGACACGGGAATTATTCACTATTTTAACGAACACTGTTAAGACCGATTTCGACACACCAGTGCAGCTAGTCTATTCACAGCTGCTAGCACGAGCACCGTCCACTTCCTCTTTCGACTACGAAAGTTATACTGACAGGTTAGCCCACTAGATGCGTGAGCACCATTCGCCCGCTCCTCGGTTACAGAAAACACCGGTATAGGTACCCAACAATGGCTATTTGTTCACATGTAGTTTCGCGTAGACGGTGTTCAACAGTCTCTGAGTGGTATATCGTACGAGCAAAATAGTTGCAATCGACCGCGGTGGCTGACATGAAGTTGAACCCATCGACCGCTTAAAGCTAGTCTTAATCGAGGAAATCAAAAAGGCTAAATCGTTTCGCAGTGGTTCCTGTGAGGTTCCGAATAACCGCACCATGTCTCAGTCACACATAGCATCCTCAACTCAGATGCCAATCCCGGTCTACAGCCGTACTGATTTCAACTTCCGCATCTAACTTATCGTTTTCCCGACCAAACGCTGTGGTCCGGAGGCTCATAAACCTGTTCGCTTTCCTGAGTATTTACGGCGCAAATACTATTACATTTGTAAGTAATTAGATTCCTGAACCCGCTTTTAAGTTGGCTTTCCTCCTAACTTGGCAATCTACTTCAAATGGTTACTTTGGTTGTCAACCACTCTTCCCTCACGCCCAATAATCAGTGGTACTCCGTCCATCAAAAATGGCTAACTTTTTAGTTGCTAACGTTAACATGATTGTCTAAAACGCTCCGGCCTGATGAGATTCAAATTCACGCTACTGAGGAATGGTCCGACAAGCAGATGAGAAAATTCTCGGCTGAGAAATCAAGCATTGTGTGTTACGGTTGCTCGATCCCGAAGGGTCAGTTAAACGCAACAATAAAAGTTTGTCTATAAGGCAACCCACGTGTGATCTTGGAGGCCGGTATCCTTCCAACTCCCACTTTCCGGAACAAGCCAAATAACCCTAACCAAACAATCCGCCACTAACATGTCACAAAATTCATACAGTTCCGCGCTCGTCCTATCCTTGAATACTGCAACTTCATCTATGGCAGCATGCAGAAAATGGACGAAAAAGCTATGGAAAGTGTACAGAGCTGTCACCAAACGTTTGTTCAGTGGAGCGTCTACCCTAAACTACCGTGAACGCTGTAAGTAGCTTCATATTGAGCCCCCAGTCTGCCACGTCTGAAGTAAAATTTAATGCTTCTGTATGAATTGTTACCCCTAAAAAACACTAACTAAATAAAATAGGTAACTGATTGAAAGGTCATTTTAAAGCGCACGTAGTGTGAATGGATTGCGACGCGCAATCTCAATGTGGACCGCGATTAGCAATGAAGTGAAACTTGGACAAATCGATTGCTGCGACCGTAACTGATACGGGTAGAATGCGTTCCCTTTTGTGGAACGATCATTTGTACAGCGAGTTTTATTGGCATTTCATTTATGAAATCGCATTACATATGAATCAATTATGCAATGGTTTGTAGATCATGTAATAAATAACATTAATGGGTGGCTAGTTTTGCCATGTTTTTCGGGCCGGATCCTGTCAGTGCACCCGTAAATTGCTGAAGACGGAAAGAAAAGTTTTAAATGAGATCTAATTATGTACATGTTCTCGCTGGTTTTTTAGTTGCAACGGTATTTTATTCCACAGATAGGTGGACCACATGAGGACTAAATTAAAGCAAATCTTTTGCTTGGTCCACTGACAGAATAGTAGACATTTCCCATTACGAGTGGGATATGTTGAACAATCTGGTAAAGCGAAGGCCGTACTGATTGAGAAGACTCGCGAATATACTATAGTCTAGGAAAGAGTGAGATTGCTTTTCAGTCATCCAAGTTAGAGTGAATTAGGCTGGAGGAAAGAACATCGTTCCTCATAAGTAGGCGTTGATGAGCGCCCTGTGAGCATTTTGGTTAATAAACGCCGGGCTACTCCAAAGCAATTCTATTCGTCTCACGTAGGTGGCTATGTATGATGGTGTGGGTCGTACTTTGAGCTTAAATAATTGAAGCGGTGTTTAGGATAGTGAAAATGACCTGCTGATGTAGCTTGTAATTTGTTTGGCCTTCGTTGGTTGATGTGGTACGTGCTCGGAGAAATAGGAGCTGCTAGAGTATAGCTTTCCCAAGTGCCGAACAGAATACGCAGTAGGGATGTAGGTACCAGCAAGAATGATGGATTCTTCTGGTATGCTGTATCTGTGACATAGTACCTGAGATTTATCTGCCGATGATGATCTTCCCTTATAGGTTTTACTTAAATCCATATGACCTTGTCAGAATGGGTACACTATTTTGATGTCGCCCGCAAATAAAAAATGGGCGGCCGTGTCAAATGTAATCGCACAGATCGTTTGCGAAAATGAAGGAAAGCAATGGACTTCTCTGAAGGACATCAAAAGTAATATTTCTGGAAGTGGAACATTGTTGAACTATCTGTAGACTTTGTGTTCGGTCGTTCAGATATCATTCAAACAAGCTCTGTAGAGAATTGATGATTCCATAGGGCTCGAGCACGGTCAAAAATGGTTTGTGCGGTATACAGTCAAACGCATTTTGCATATCCAAGAGGATCATGAGAATGGCCATGCGACCATCAATTGTTGCTGTAACATGATCAAGGAATTGTAGTTAGCATGTGAGGTTCCTCGGCCGACAGTTTGACATCTGATCCCGAGGACCGCCGTCGTGGTTCGGCAGAATTATGGAATTTTTCCACTGAGATAATTCAAAATAACAGGAAAAAAGTCCGCAACAAACAATACACGCTACTTGT